TAAAGTATTTATTCACGGTTATTTATACCAACCGTTGTTATAGATAGAGCGTAAAATATTATTAACCATACATTTACTGAATTTCGAACGCATGACCATTCACTTTATATCACAACGGTTGTATATCTTAACCATTGTGATATATAGCGCGCTACCTAATTTATCACAATGGTCTAATGCCTGTGGTAAAAAAACATCATACACACAATCACACCCTACCTCACAACGGTTGGTCGGACGTGGTTGTATCTATTTTTCAACCGTTATGATAGCTGTTTTCCGTAGTAGAGATTTCAAAAGAGTTTGATATTATTAAAATGTTTTGGGTGGATAACGAATACTCGAATGATCCGAGTAAGGCAACTTGTATCCAAATATCCAAGGAATAAAAGACTCTAGACGAATTTCTTTTACATTTAAGTTATTGTGAAAAATAGGTTTGATTTGATTTAATTATGAACTGAATTTGAGGTGAATCGTATTAGAAATTTTTTAAAAGATGACAATTGTTCGGATAGTCGAGTAAGGGAACTCGTACCCAAACAATTGAGAAGAGGAACGAAGGCTCGAGGTCATCCCCTTTTTCACCTTTAATGAAATGGTATTAAGTATAGTTACTTAGTTTAATTTGACTTGGATGAAATACTCGATGTTGATCAAGGTTTCAATTTGCGTTAGAAACAAGATAGGTTTGGAAATGTTTTTTGGAAAAAAATTGCTTGACGTTGAATCAAGATTTTGACAAATCAATAAAAAAAATTAAAGTCACTACTTATTTTAATTAATTAGATAACTAATCATCCAGTTAAACAAATATGAACAATTAAAAATGCAATTTGTAATGAGCAAAATAGATTATTAATATGAACAAATATAACAAGAAAACAACATAAGATCTGATCCATTTAATAAAATACAAATAAATAAATAAATAAATTAGGTTAACAATAATTAACTAACTTAATTAATTAATTTATAACCAATTAATTTAAATCAATTAATCTTAGTTAACTAAATTTATTTTTAAAAACATGTTTTATTAATTGAACACCAAACAAGAATAATAAAAATAAGTCAAGGAATAAAAATGGGCCATGTAAGTGAACCAACCCACTTAAGGGTGCTATCATGCCAATCTCAAACCCTAAAGAAAATAGGTCAGCCCCCTACCTACTGAATGTGACTCACATGTATAGTTCAAACATTGAATTGACAAAAAGCCATGAATCCAAATAAAGAAGTAATACTATTCTTTTCTAAAACGAATACTATGCAACCTCTGCTTTCTCACTTAAACTCTCTAATCTAAGAACATAACAACAAAAGCCATCAGAATTTGGGAAATGAAGAACTAACCAAGGCGGATGAAATGAACCCTCACAGTGGTGCCCAAGAACACCACGGCGGCACCGCCGTGAGTCACACAAAAACACAACCAAAATGATTAGTGAAAGGATAGAATCAAATCGTTATGCATTTGCTGATTTTGTGGAAGTTTTGTGATTTCTGCGTGTGAGTTGCCATGTGACTGTGATTTGCTTTGTGTGGTCCCCAAAGTTGTATGGTGATGATGGTGAACTCGTTTCAACATCATCATGTGTATGTGTATGCTTATGATATATGTTTTGCGGCTACTTGAATGGTTCCCTTTGATTTCTCTTTTTATGTATGTTAAGTTATACATGATAATGTTGATGACTTTGCTTGAATGGCCATGTTCATGCTATGTGTATTATGATGCTCATGGTGTATTTGTTTGAATTTGCAGGATGACGAGATGATGTTGCATGATGGATGGAAGGACCTTGTCTTGCTTCCACTTTAATTTTTATTATTTTTTGAAACAAAACTATATGTACCATAAACCTCTTTTTATTTTCCAATACTTTTAGTAGTCAAATGTAATATTATTTAAAGGTATAAAATACACATTTTAATTCATATTGTTTCAAAATAACTTTTTTTTATTATCTGTTCTTTTATTAGGCCATATTAAATGAAATGCAAAGATGTATTTTAACAATGAATAAAATAAATAAAAATACTCCTAAGTGAAAAATAAAAGGGTGCTAAAATGGTATTAGAAAAAATCTACTTCGATTAGTAGTAACAATTCTCCCTTATTTTGAAAATTACTTCCCTTTTTCTCTCTTAGACATGATAAAATGATTTAAATGTATTAAGATCAATTAAAAGAGAACATAAGAAAAAAAGAAATACAAGAAGGATTAAATTTGTAACGAACACCTATATGATCCAAAGCTAAAAGTCATCTCAAGATTTTGACTTTGAATGCAAAAGACGAAGGCGATAGTCAAAATCAAGAAGTCAAACCCTTGACTTTTAATTTTATTAGTCATATACCGATAAACTTTTCATTGATGAAAAAAAGAGGCATGATCAACTGCAATGATCATAATGGTGTAAATGAAAATGAACTATATAATGTAGTGAATAGGTATGACAAAATCAAGGTATAACACAATGGAAGAAAAGCAAGTGGAAATAATAGAAGAAAAACTAGAGATAATGTTCACCCTTTGTGTTTTTTTTTATTGCTGTGAGAAAAAAAAGTAAGGGAAAAAAAGGGTTTAAATATAAAGGTGGCGAAGAGTTTCTCCCAAGAACATGATGGACAAATGGTATGTTAATTTGGAGCCAATGAGCAGCCTCGAAGCGGGAAAAATTATGAATAATAAAATCAAAAATAGAATCTTAAATTCCAGTTTAGTGACTATAATGACCTCGGAATTCAGGGTAATGATATACTGACATTTGCACATTTTAAAGACGTAACGTTTGGTAAGAAAGTGATTCATAATGACTGACAACAAGTATGACTGAGGTGATGTGGCATAGTATGTGAACAATGACAGGGTAGTTACAAACAATACCATCGTTCTCCCCTCAGATATGGGTCGACAGTTACATTTTTTGGGGGCTTCTATTACACTGAGATTTTTCAACTACTAGAAATTCAACAGAGAATGTCAATAAAAAGACGTTTACTCTGAGAAAGCATTAATGAAATGCCTTTAAACAACATTAATGATAAGTCATCAACAAACCAACGACGAGAGATCGATCGGGCTGTCGACACAGCGAGACATGGTTTGGAGGACTCTCATGGATAAATCCCCAAGACCCGGATCGCGAAGAAGTGGAAAGCAGTTATAACTCAACGTGGATTCTGAACAGAGAGTGTCTTGGGAGACACGTAAACACACTAGTGAGGACTTGAAGATTGAACGTGGAATATGTAACACCCGAGGCCGAAGAGGGCGGAAAATGATTACATGTAACACCCGAGGGAGAGGGAGTGGTTGTTGGTGCATGAGGCACGTGAATGAGACACTCTTAGTAGCTTATAGGGAAAAATCGAATTCACATCGGAATGAGAGGGATCCTGAGATTGAGTAGGTATGAGACTGCATGGTTGAAGAAAAACTTATAAGGATTAATATTACCTATGCCAACAAAATGCATCTTCTTTTTGGTAGCCCGTTCCATAAGAATTCCACAATTAAGCGTGCTTGACTTGGAGCAGTTTTGGGATGAGTGACCTTTTGGAAAGTTTCTCGAAAAGCGTGTGAGTGAGGAAAAACATGTTGAAAAAGACATTTACATGGGATCAAAGATCGCAAAATTTCATACATACTCTCCTTACCATTAGAGTACCCTAGTCAAAGAGTAAAACAATTGAGCGAGAAACATGTATATGTCTGCGTTCAATCTTTTTTATTAGTTCACGCGACGACTGCATTCAACTCATACGCACATGTGTTCACACAAATTATTTGCACAAATTGCTTTGTAGATTTTTTGAGTTAATCTCACAGACTTTTAAACTCGTGATTGTTTACCAAAAACACAGATAAACAACATTATGGCTAAAATATGAGAGATTTAGAGAGGTGATGAGAGAAACTCTCTATTTATAGATCAATATGTAGTGTACATTTGAAAACAACCCATGTGCCTATTAACTTACATAACAATTAGGTGCCTCAAATAATTGATTGTTAAGGCCCAAAATGATTTTTTTAATATAAAGTTATTATTATCATTAAGAACTGCCACAATCAATTATAGACTCAATTAAGTATCATCTAATTGATTGGACAAAAGATCTAATCAATTAAACAACTAGAAAAAATCTCGTAATCAATTGAACATTCCTCTAATCAACCGACTAGATCTAAAAAACATTTGTTGGTGATTTTATTAAAACATGAAAGACTTCTCAATAGTTTTTAGCATGTGTGGAGTTTTGCCATAATGTTTACAAAAATGCCTTTGTACTAAACAATCTTTTACACTTCCTTTCTTTCACACTTAAAAATTTTAAGTCTTGATATATTATATTTGATTTTGACATCACACAAGAACTTTAAGTCTTCTTCATTAGATTTAAAATATCTCCATGTTAATTATCATCCTATGAGAATTAATTATAAGATTAAATCACTAATAATTCTTGAAAGCAAAGTCTTCACTTGAGACTCATTAAACTACAATATTAAATTTAAATAGATTTCTTACTTGATTTGAGAAAATAGCCTAATCAATTATATTAACCACTTAAATTATCTTTATCTCGTGTGTATCTTGAGCAGTTGCTTATGGATGATATCCTACTTATTCAAGTGAAAGTTTAGTAATTATAAGTTCTTAGACCAAAAAATTATAGCTAAAATTATCTTAAAACGTTTTTATCCACAACAATATAAGTCCGTTGTTATCTTTTCTGTATAAGTTTACAATGTTGTTTCTCATTGTTTAAATTAGTTAAAGAATTAACTATATAAAAATAAAGAAAGTCGCATGAATAAAAAAGTGGTGTAGAAAAGAAAGTGTCCTAGTCACAACCCAACCTTTCTCCTCTTACACTCATTCACCCCACTTTCTTTTTCTTTTCTCCATAACACTTCAAACTCTACACTTTCCCTTATCACACTCTCATATCTCATCGCTTTTCTAGCTTCCAAACCAAATCAACTATGAAAACAATAACACTTTTCATAAGAGCGATGTTAATACTCACCAATGCGTATCTTCATTTAGCAACAACCGATGCAGTAGATCACCACCACCTTAAAACCACCTCCAAGGAACAGATCCAGTGCACAATGTGTACTTCTTGTGATAATCCATGCAACCCGGTTTCATCTCCACCGCCACCGCCACCTTCATCCACAAACAACTGCCCTCCCCCTCCTGCTCCACCTACATCCTCCGGTGGTGGTGGAAGTGGGGGTTCATCATACTATTACTCTCCGCCTCCACCACCTAATTCTTACACTTACTCATCTCCACCTCCTCCATCATCCAGTAGCAGCGGCGGCGGAGGAGGAACATACTATTATTACCCTCCGCCTAGCAACAGATACTACGGTCCAGCACCGCCACCACCTAATCCGATAGTTCCTTATTTTCCTTTTTACTTCTACGGTCCTCCGCCACCCTCCGCCGCGTCTCGTTCTCTCTTCAATCCAATTGTTCTCTCATCCTTCTTGCTGTTGTTACTTTGATAGCAAAAAAGTGAAACCTAAAATGGAAAGGTTTGGAATAACGGCGCAGATTTGCAGATCTAGAAATTCTCAGGGAGTAGTGTAACAGTGCTAGAGTAGAGAAGATCTCGTGAAAGTACCAATTTGCCCTCCATCAAGAAGCAAAATGCACGTGTATATCTGAAGTAATAATAATAACGGACATGTTTTTCTTTCTAATTGTTTTTGTACTCTTTTATTTATATATTAATTAATTTCCTCTGCAATTTGTTGACAATTTTCATTTTCCCTCCTGCATGGATGCATGATGATGATGATCAAATAAATTGAAATAAATTTGTATTCGACAGTTAAAAACAATACTTAAAACTGTAGTTAAAAACAGTGCATAGCATTCAATTTAGTATTGTAGAACTTTACTTTCAGCCGCAGTTTGTAAATTAAAAGATGACTAATAAAATTTAAAAACTCTTAAATAGTGAATAGCCACACACTACTTTATAATAGATTAAATTTATTTATAATTAAATAAATTTTAAAAATAACTTTTGTATAAATATAAGCGGAGAGTGTTTTCATAATCATTCAACTCCAATTGCATACTACTATAACATCCGAGTAGTTAGTTTACGAGGATAAGCAGTCGATTTCAAAATGATATGGACTAAATAGTAAATACCCATTATTGATTTCAGAGATTTTGATTTTTGACACCCAAAAATTTCCTGGCACCCCCTAATTTTCGTATCGAATAAATGCCTTTCTTATTATTATTTCATTTCAAAATTATATTTTGGTAAAATAATTCACTTTAATTGAAGCAGTAATTTTCGAAATATCTACTAGTAGTAAAAAAATCTGGTATCAATTTTATTGAAATTGGTTAAAATTTTATATTTTACCGCATTTTTAAAAATTCAGTATCCGTTTTTATCACATTTTAAAAAAAAAAGCATTTATACCGTATTTATTGAAAAGTCTATTTTTTTTACTGAATTTTTTGAAAATTCGATAAGCAGCAAAATTCTCGGATATATATTAAAAGAAGTAGGAAATTTTCAAATATTTTAAAAATTCCGGTATAACGGATTTTTAGCCAAGTATGAAAAATTTGGTAGTTTAAATAAGCATGTTTTCTTTGTGCGCTCCTGAGGTGGATGGTTCTTCTACAGATTTTACACAATTCTTCACCACTAATGTTATATATTTTACTTGCATGTTTTGTTTTTATCTTGTGCAAGATTCAATAGATTTTGGGCTTCTGTGACATAAATAATTCATTCATTATATATTGTAAATGACATATATTTTTCTCTCGGGATGACGTGTGAGTATGAACACAATCCATTAGAAAATAACATGGTATTATTGTTGTCAATGTTTGTTCTAATACCGCAAATGACATTAGAGGAAGGAATGATAAATTGATTATGGATTGTGAGAGAGGAGGAAACTACAAGAAGAACTATTCCTTTCAAGCGACTTTTAGTATGAAAGTTAAATATCCATTTACGCTGAAACTTGTATCAAGTGGTAGCGGTTGAAAAGTGACAGTTAGACATGGTATTCACAATCATGAAATAGCTACGGAAAATTGTAATGAAACGATAAAATACATAGTTGCTACTATGAAAGATAGAGATAAAAAACCTGACGAGAGTTAAGCAAGTATATAAGGCAAAATCTTCATACATGACAAGCAAGAGATGTTCATTGAGTGAAATGCAACATTTGTTGAGTCTAATTCATGATGAGAAATATATGTACTGGACCAGAAATAGACATATCAAATGTTATTGTTGATATCTTTTGGACACATACTGATTCAGTAAAGTTATTGAACATGTTTTATTTGGTGTTGATTTTTGATTGTACATACAAAACAAACAAGTAATACCTTCCTAAAAAATGTAACTTTTTCTTTATTTGATTTTAGGAAGTTGTTGATTAAATTTCATATTGTGTTGATTATTGACTGTAGATACAAAATAAATAGGCACCAACTCGCACTACTTGAGATTGTCGGTGTTACTTTAACGAAGTTGACGCTTTTGGTTGGGTTTAACTATTTGGAACATGAAAGGGAGGAAAACTTCACATGGGAACTGCAGAAGCTGAAAGAGTTGTTCACATTCGAGAAGTTACTACCAAAGTTTGTGGTGACAAACGAGAACTTACATTGATGAATGCCATGAAAGTTGTGTTCCCATTCTTAATTTATATGTTATGGGCATTCCATATTTTAAAAAATATTAGTATAAAGTGTAGAGTTTGTCAAATCTAATAGGCAAAAGCATGTTATGGATATATGCAACAAAACCATGTATTCAAATAAGGAATCAGAGTTTGTGGAACACTTGAAGCATTTTGAGGTAGTATGTGCTGATATTTCTTTATTTGTTCAATACGTGCACCAAACATGGTTGACATCCTATAAAGAAAACTTAGTTACTGCATGGATTAATAGTCACTCATTTAGGGAACACAGAAACGAACATGTAGTTCCTTGTGACTTTGATTTTACTACGGTACTATTTATCTATTTATTGTGAAGACATGGTTTCTCAAAAGGTTTTGATGACGACACACTGTACAACATACAAGGATGGATAAAAGAATCTCAAAGAAATCAAGTTTGAAGAACTTCAATGTCAAATCAATATATCAAGACTTGTTAAAGAATGAAGACAAAGTTCTACACAAATGAAGGTACAACATTCAACTTCTATATAGCTTGTATAATTGTTCAACTTCATCTCTCATTCTTGCATACCATTTTTAAATTGTTTTAAAACTCTTACAATGCATTTTGCCTCTGTTCCAAGTATTTTTTTGCAAAACCTGTTCAGAGTAACTAGTTACCTATTCCTGGTAATCGGCTATCCTGTGTAAACTTTCAAATTTTTTCAAACGTTGAGGCTGGTAACCGATTACCCACATATGGTAACCGGTTACTACTGGCACAGTGAGCCAGAAAATTGCATTTGTTGGCAGAATTGTGTTTTCTCATTTCTTCTTGAACCATGGAAACTCTTGGTTATTTGCATTCTTTTGAAAAGGTGTTTAGAGGTATTTATATACCTCATAATCTCAGACTTTGAGATTAACCTTCTTACAAAAATTAAAATTTCATTTCATCTCTCAAATTCCAAATTTTCACAAGTGTCAAAAATTCTCAATTTTCAAGAGTGAAACTACTGCACCTCAAATTTCATTATTTCATCATAGTTTCATTCCTCTATTCTTGAACACTTGTGTTTGATATATAAGAGTTGACATCTCAAGAAGAATATCAGTCGCAAGATTGATAATCAAATACTGCTGCAAACTACTCAAAATCAGAATTATTTGTTTGTTGATTACATCTTATTTTTCCAGGATTGTTGGAAATAAATTTGTAAGGTTGTAATCTTGCTGTCCAGGATTGTTGGAAGCAAGAGGTCCATTTTGAGAGGATTGTTCTTATTGAACTTAGTGATAAAAATCCAAGAGGATTGTTCTTGGTGTTTTGATTGGTTAGAGTCTTGATCGCGACTTTCTATGTCTAATACAACCTAACTGCAAGTGCACAGTCTATCGCGTAGTAATAATAGATATCGATCCCACAGGGACTCGTAATCAAACTAGTGTTCTCGGGAGTTACTATGTTTAGCTAGGTAGATAATGTTTAAGGGAATAAGATTGTCACTAAAGGGAACTAAGAATGTTAATTAAATTATAATTAAGTGAATCGATATGCAGTAATTATGTTCTTCGGGGATTTGACAAGTTACCGGTATACGAAGTATTTTTCAGAGTTTATTTAAGCAGAAAATGGTGATCTGAAGACTCTCGCCTCACGATGGTTATTGACGCTAATCATAATTCTAAGGGCCAAACGTACGCTTTCGTGTCCCGTTCGGGGTTAAAACTATTTTTTGGAAATCTCTAAGTTCTAATTCATTTTAAAGTGCTTTCACTGTTATTAAAATGAATGACTAGTGTTTACTATCTGGTCTTGCCGCAGCTTTCGCTTGTTGGTTCGTACCTTAATTAATTTCCCACTTTCGTGGCAAAACTACTTTCAAATAAGTTCTCGCTTTCGCGACGAAGTTTATTTAGTAAATTAATTTTAAACACTCAGACCATAAACGACATTTGAAAAAGACAATTTTCAACCGGTTATTATCAAATCCCTTCCGAATTATTATTACATATCGATTACTTTAATTTAGCCAGACATGGATTTGGGAAAGGTAAAACATAAATGAAAACAATAAATAATAGCATGCATCATAATAAAAACTGGAATTACGATTGAAATGAGAAACCTGTAAATATTCCAATTGACCTTTGGGCAGATCCTCCACAAATGTTGGCAGGATTCTGGTATTTGTGTCAATTGATCGTACAACGGAAAATAAGAATTACAGAAGGAATGAAAGGAATGCAGAAAAAGAAAAGAGAAACAAATAAGAATATTAAAAACTGGAAAGGTTGCTCTGAAAATAAATTGGCAGCACTTCGTTGTCTAAATGCGGCCCCCTTTCTGAGTTCCCCTTCTTCCCCTTTTATAGAAATGGAATTCTAACGGTTATAACTTGAAGAAGGTGGACTTTAAGGCAGAATTATCAGGGAGTAGTGGTCTACTATTTGGGACTTGGAACTGCTTCTTTCACGTGCATTTGAAGTGGGGCGTTTTTGCCTGCATGACGGTCGTCACAATGTGTGACGGTCGTCACCCGTGTGACGGTCGTCATGGAGCTGTGACGGTCGTCACAGCAGCAAAATCAGCATTCTGCGTTTTTCATGTTGTTTTCATCCGGTTTTCGTCCATATTTCATATGGGATTGCTTCTTTTCTTCATATTGCCTTGTTCAGACGTGATTATCAAATACCTGTAACATCAGACAAATAACACGGAAATAACCCGAAATCGGATCGAAAACAGTTAAACTTCAGTTGAATTATGCATCAAAATATATATATACGATTTCGTGTTATCAAACTCCCCTAAGCTTGAATCTTTGCTTGTCCTCAAG